GGGGGAGGGTGGGTGGGGAAAATGACTAATGAAGCTAATTAAAAGGAGCATTGAAAACTGCTTTCTACCCTCATTAACAATTATCAGGGCACTGGCCGGAGTTTGTACCCTGTGTTTTACCTTAACAACATTCTATTTGCTCTTTGTATATTTAAGTGTTGTAAGGAAATGTGTTTCAATCAAACTGAACATGAGATAAAGGAAAGATGTGGCTTTTGTGATATTCTATCACAAACACTTTTATTGTATCTCTGTAAAATACAATGTATGTATGCATGTAAGTGTTTTTGTCCTAATGTTGCTACTTCCCATGGCAAAAAAAAAAAGGCAAAAAAGGAGGAAAAAAAGTCAGGCTCATAGCAGCTACTGTGTAGAAACTTTCACCTACTTCTAATCTGCTGAATGAAGAAAAATCTTTTATTTGTGATATTTTCAGAGACATTTGCTCTAGTATGGTGTATTTAAATAATAAAAACTTAAAACGAAAACATTGAATTGAGTTTGGGTTTTAAAAGCTTTTGCTTTTTTACATAACGTTCTAAATCTTACTCTGAAACTCCACCTAATGTAACTGTTGTTTTAATTGTAAATAAACTATAAAACTAGCTTTCTTTTTAGCTTTATACCAATAAGGAATCTGTCAAACTACTTAACCATGTCACTTTTGGCAGAAGTACAGAGTAATTCTTCAAAACGGCTATTTCTTTTAGGTTCAAAATATTAATTCTGAAAACAGCAAGTATATCACCATAGTTCAGCCATGTTGTAATGAACTTTTGTTTAAAAGTAACCATGGACTCCCTTTATGTAGTCTCTTCACAAGGAAAGACTATATACTTAAGTAAAATCAAGGGGAACACTTGCAGCAAAGGGATATGTGCTCTGTTAAACACTTTTGAAGTGGGTATTTTATAAGGAGATGCAGTCATTCATTCTGAATCTTAAGTGCTTGTAACAAATCAGGTTAGCTATAATAAGAAACTAAGTGTCTCTTCACCACTGGTGATCATAAGAGTAGAAGAAAACACCTTTTCCTGGCTATTTTCTAGGCATCAATGCCATCCTGCATGACTTTCTTTTTTCTCTCTCTAATTTTGAAAAAAGAGAGGATAAAAAAGAAATTTCATCTCGGGTATATTTGTCCCTCCTTCCTCCCAATGGTGATTGGCTAATTGGAACAGAGCATCAGAAAACAATTTCTGTTAGATAGGTTGTGAAAAGACAATGAAAATGAACCCATCATGCCCTAAACCAGAGCACTACAACACATAGGTTTAGACAGTGCCTTTGAAGAACGAATTAAACATTTCCAGACACCACAGTTTTTATCGTAGGCTAATAAATATGAAGTATATTATTTATATTTGCAATTTTTATTTTATTATATCTGTTTTAAGGAAGTCATTTACCTTACCTGGTTACAAAGTAAGCCCTGATGCATTGTTTTTAGCGATGCCGGGTGATATCAACGGAAGTCAGCTTTTTGCGTATCTAAACAACCAGCAGCCAAATTCTCTTCCTATCTGTACTTTTTGACCTCTGGTATGTCTGAGGTCTGTTGGTTTTTTTTTTTTTTTTTTT